AAAACCCATCTCAAAGATAATATTAAACAGTTCAAAAAAAAAAAAAGAAAGAAAGAAAAGGATCCTCAAAACCCAAAACATAAAAGGATTATAAAAACTAACAGAAACTGGAAAAAGAAATAACCCAAACCCAATTAATACCTTGGCAATCTTGATTTCATCTTCAAGCTCGTGAAATCGATTGTTTAATCTTCCAAATTTGTTAATGTTCTGTTGATCTTCCCAAGTAACCTCCGTCTCAGATCCTCCAGTACCCTTTAAAAAACATTTACCTTTTAGACCCAAAACAAAGGAAGAACTCAAAAGCAAGAAATAAAAACAGCTAATAAAGAAAAATGGGTTTTATGTGGGTTTTTCAGAGTACCTGTTGCATGGCTTGTTCGATGTTTTCTTTCTTGGAAGAAAGTGGAATGCCAACTGAAGCTTCACTGATTTTCTTTTGAGAGTAACCCTTCCTCGGCTTGAACTTGAAAGTGTGAAACTCCTTTTTAGTTTTGCCTCCCCGATCTTTGTCTTTCCGGGTTTTGAACTTACATTTTTGGGCTTTGCCCAAGAAGAATATGTTTGGGCTCTTTTATTTCAGAAAATTTATAAATTTAAATAATCCTTAATTTTATATTATACAATAATATTTTTTAAATCAAGAAAAAAGTAATATTTATAAAAATTCTGAGCTATTTTCAAAAAATTCAAATAAATTTTTATTTTTTATTATATTTAAAAAAAAATTATTTTTATTTTAAATAAAATAAATCTAACCAATTTGTCATTTTATACCATATGGTATGAACTTAACATATATTGATATGTTATAATAGATGACTACGAAACATGTTGATGCAATAATCATGTCATTTTCACGATCTTGTGCTATTTTTTATTAATTTTATGAAAATATAAAATAACTAGTGATAATGATTAACATCCGAATATTTAACTAAATACAAAATGACAAGTGACATTAACTAGTATCCGAACATTTGGCTAAAGTGCATGAGTAGGGTTCAAATCCCTTTCTTTCAATTAAAAAAAATGACATATTAACTAATGACAATTAATTAATTATTACTTATAAGATATTGTTTGACTTAAAATCAAAAAATGCAAATTTAATTGAATACAATAATAAAAAAAAAAAGTTTACGATATAGACCTACATTTATATAATTTCAATTTACTGCAATGAAAAGCAGCCTAAGCCGGTTCATAGAATTCAATCAACTCGTGCGGTGTCATATGGTTTTTGATTCCCATTGAACTCTGATTCTTCAGACTCTCATAGCTCAAAGACAAATTTCACCATCCTAGTTTAAAGATGTGGTAAGAATGAAATAAAATAAATTAAATAAATTCATGTGTATTACATGCATGGTACAAGCATACATGACAGGTAAACTAGTATACAATAAAACTATGATGATCTTAGAAAACATATATGTAGTTGCAGATGATAAAAAAGCAACATGGAAAAATTAGATAGATGTCTCAAGGAGCTTGAACTTTTCGGCCATATGATAGAACCATCACAAAGTCCTTGGCTGAGGAGCCAACAGATGCTGGGACCTTTTTTGCAGTTGATGCTGTGCGAAACCACAGATCGACCAAGTTATGAAGTTGCAATGTTGGTAGAACAGGCTTACCCCGGCACATGATCTCCACCTACAAAATGGATTCACTTGAATCATCAGGGAAGATAAAGTGCCAGTAAACGTCACTTCTTTCACATTATAACTGAATTAATAACAAAAGAAGTACTGCATTTTTTTCCTTCAGAAAATGCATTGAAAGGTTAAGAGTTTTGCCAATGCCATCAAAACATGCTTTTACTATCAACTGCTCAGAAGTTGCTAGTTTCCACATGGTTCACAAGAGTAGATAAAGTGGGTTTACGGTGTGACTTAAAGATATCAGTCAGCGAGACTGTTCTGGGTTAAAACTTAAGAGAGGAGGTAATGACAATTAAGGAGCAATGCATCTTAACAAAAAATCTTTCACTTCTTCATAAAACCCAGAAAGGTGTCAGACTCTTCCAGAACTGGAATAGGATATACATTCTATCTGCCAAGGTGCAATCCAAAACCAAGGAATTAAAGCCCAAGTGTTATCAATGCTTTGCTTCCAATTCCATTTCAATATTCCCAGTTTCCAAAAACAAGAAAAGAAAAAGGCAACCCATAGCAACATATTAACATAAAATTACAGCAACATAGCATCTCCATTTCAGAATGATGCAATTTAGACATTCTCAGCTTTCTGGGAAAACAGAAACCTGGTAAAGGTGATCTCACCTCAGCTTCACTTGTAAGATCAAGTTTCTTTACAAGGTACTTTTGGATGAATGAGACAGGCATTTTACCATCCCTATTACCAAGAAAAAAAGAAGTCAATAATACATAGAAACAATAAAAACACCATCTCACATTTTTATGCTGCCTGCTCAACATTTACAACTTATGAGCGTTAGTATTGCAATATAGAATTGTGATAGTAAACAAAACATACAAAAATTTATCACAAACTCTGCAGAACCAAGCGATGGAAAAAGCAGATTTTTAAGTGGCTAATATGAACAAACTACTCACTTTATCCTCAAGTAGCATGCAGATATCTGTGGCAGCGAAGCATCTCCTTTCCTGAAGCCATTTCATAAAATCAGATACTGAATTGAAGATATTCAAGTTGAAGCTCCTCTTGGATAAACGTAATATGCCTTTGACAATTAGGTCAAGCAGGAAAAAAATGGAGCAAAAAGGCATATCGTTAATAAGTGTATGTATAGTGTATAGTATCTTACTGATCTTCAGAAGCAACTAATGAGAACCAAATTGGACTTTCTTTTCTGTTACACTTAGCCCCCAAAGTGTCTAACATGACTCTAGCTGAGGCAGCCTGCTCCTGAGAGGCAGTTGCCCTCTTTTGTGCTGCTGCACGCAACCTTCTACGCTTCACAGGTCTTGAAATCAAACTTGCTCCATTCTTTTCATCCAGAACTTTTGTATTCTGCCCATGCTCCTTACTCTTAGTTTTAGGAATACACAATTTGCCATCAGGAACAGTGGCAGATTCAAGGTCAGCTTTTGTTTCTGGCATGTATAAGTGACAATCAGGGCCATTATGTGGCTCAGCCTTGGAAGTAGCCAATCCCTGTGAATTTAGCTTAGATGACTTTCTGTTAGCAGCTTCAACAAGACAATTTAAGGGGGTCCACAGATCTGCTTTGCCTTCCAACATTTCAACATCATCTGTATCTTCATTTGACCTGCGTTCACTAGAAGGTTCTGCCATGGAAGAGTCCTGCACCGATTTAATGAAGATGGGCAAATTTTCAATATGGAAAAGGAAAAATGTGTTTAATGACAGGGCCTATCTTGCCACAAAATTAACTCTGAAGCTTATATAATACGACCATAAAGAATCTTTCTCCAGCCTCCTTTACCTGCCTTTTACTTTGACTAATTTTGTTTGAGGAATCAGGGGAGCTTGTGCCTGAGGGATGATCTTCTGCAAAATCTTCTTTCTTAAGGGGTTCCTCAACAGAGAAATTACATCCTCGAAAAGCAGCAACTCTTTTTCGTGCAGTAGCTTTGGTTCTCCTCCCAGTCAAGCCAGTCTGCATTGGCACTTTGGGAGTACTGACCACCAATGATGATAGTGATCTTTCCTTCCTTTTGGCAGGTGGTGAGGTTGAAGGCATAACCTCAGGAGCCCTAATCTTTCTTCTTTTAAAAGGGAAAACTTTGGCCCTTATATCCTGTAAATTGTGGTCTGGCCTGCATATAATCGTAGGAAAATCTAACTTTTTGTCAGCTTGTGCTAAACTTCATTATGAACACCAATGACTAGACGTTTTTATATAGTTTGTGCAAACACGTGCTTTAAGTACTTGCATAGCATCACTTAAATAAAGTGCAGTAGCCAGAATATATTTTGAAGAGCAGTACACTACATAAACTCAAAGGTAACCAACATTTGGATGACACAAATGGATTTATACAAAGTCTTTGAGAAGAAAACATGCAGAACAAGTAATGAGTCGGAGGAAGCCAATGGCTCGATGTATAAAAGCTATCATTTACAAGATTAAAATTGATACAACAGGGAAATTATACAGTTGTCATGTCCAGTCAAAGGTTACACAGCAAAATTAAACTGCATCAGACACAAGTCTACTTCAGCTACAATTTCAGGAAAATTATCCAAATTTGGCTTTTGCAAAGTGTTTTTTTGATTGATATTACATGCTATTACTGAGTGGGACTGGATTAGAACTTTCCAATTCTACTGCTAGCATTTTCAACTTTTTCCTGGGTAACAATTATAGCTCTTATATTTGATAACAGACTTGGCCACAAAATTCATATATTTCTAAAATAGAAGCTAGAATTATACACCGTTTTTGCTTTGTAGGGAGAAACAGAGGCTCGGTGATTATATAGACAGGATGAGTCACCTGAGTTTGTCGACTGGAAGACAGCCCAGCTCAATGTCACATACAGGACAGCAATCCATCCCCTCATCCGAGAGCTTCTCATATATGCACTTCCTACAGACTGGATTTATTTCAATATTCAATGGATCAAAAACAATCCACAGAGAATTTCAAAACTTTATGAGAAAACCAGAAAAGCATATCTTATTCAACATTTCAAGAATACTGTAGCAAGTTCAAACTTGACACCTCAAATAAACCATAAGAGCAAGAAAAGCAGCTAATATGTGTCAGCCTTTTAATTCAATCAACAAAAGAAAGGAAGCATTCCCATAAGAGTGCAATAGGAAGGATGTTGAGATATTTTCTATAAATTCTTCAACAGGAATGCATCACCCTTTCCTTCAGACTTCCCAGTAAGCACATAATGACACATCAACACCCCACGCATGATAATATAGGTGCAGTTTCAGTTTGAGTCTGCCTAACTACAGAAGGATAGACTAGGCAACCACAAATCCTATGCACAATATGTTTGTCCAAGATCTGACTGTTCATGATTGTCACATACAGCTATTGTCAACTTGGCTGGGCCTTCAATTCTTCAGAAGATCTTGGAACTTTTGAAGGTTCTAGTAGAAATTGCACTTTGTAGAGCACTGCAGAAAAGAAATTCATCTTTGAATATGTATAAACTAAAGCTGCATATATGCCAACTTGGGAAAATGGGCAGCCCTTATGCATGAGAAAAGTTGCCATCCATGTTGTCTTCCATGCTAAAACTGTTGCACCAATTCTGGCGTATCCTATATCTCCTACATAAGACTGCCTTATCCTCTGACTATTATACAATGACAGAACCAAAACCACCAGTACACACAAAATATTGTATATTTTTGTTCTAGGTATACCACCAGTATGTACATACGTATAACTATGCATGAGACCGACCAAGGTAAGAAAGTAAAAACAGAATGTACAGAATTATGAACCAGAACAACCAGAGTGCAAGAGAAATAAAACCGCATAACAAAATAAACAGAAAGTATATACTAAGTTAAAAAACCCAAATTTCATATAACCATGACATCAAAAGAATTTCAAATTGGATGACAATACAATCAAGAATTTTCGCAGTCATCGGAATTCAGATACATCTGAAACGTACAGTTTAAAGAATGCAAAACAAGAAAGAGATATCCCAACACAACAAATCAAACAAATTGAAAACATAAACTAACCCCAGGTGAAAAACCCAGAAAAAAAAAACCACCCAGAATACAATATGCAAAGACAAAAGGAAAGAAAACCCAGATCAACAATTATCCAGAAAAACAGAAAAACGAGAGAAACTAACACGTATGGAGGCACAAGGAAATAGTTGTAGCTTCTCTTAAAAGCTTATTACAAAGAGGACATGTCATGCATGACTCCAAAGTCTCCCTCTTCACTTTGACAACATGATGATGACCACCAGCCATCTCTTCTCCCTATATTCCTCTCGTCTCCCTTCACATTCAAAGGCTAAAACCGGCTTGATGAAGAAGATAACTCACGAACAAGTAATGGGTAATTCTTAAAAAACCAAGAAAAAGTCTTCAAAGTCCGAAGTTTTTCCTTTTTGGGTTTTGACAAGTGTGTTTTGGTTCTTTGTATTGGTGTCAAAAAGGAGAGGCCCCTTTTATTTTTACATGAAAGAGATCTCAACTAAAACAGATGTAAAACGAAGTGGCGGGTTTGGGGGGTGAAATTAAGAGCAAAACTACGTTACGTGGGATTTGGTTGGATTTTTGGACACAAAAAGAGGAAGAAACTAAGAGAAAAGCAGCGGCTTTTTATGCGTTGGTGCTCGGGGGTGTTTGAGTTTTACAAGAAATAAATATATAAAAAAAATTTTAATTTATGGAAAAAGAATAAACATCACAATCCTACTACAATCGGCCCGACTTGACTTTTTAAATGTATTATTTGTGCAATTAAATAACAAAGTTTGTATCAATTCATCAAATTAATTAAAACAATCAATAATCCATTGACTATTTCATTAATTCAGATTCATTTAATAAGATTTTTAAAATTCACCTTAATTTTTTTTATAATATTTTAAAATATATTTATTATATCAATATTAATTCGAATAAATCAACGATTCAATCATTGATCCGAAATCAAAAACCCTAAACGATCATTATACTGTTCAGTTTTGATATCATAATCACAGCAAAGCTTAACAACCCAAGATAGAAATGCTATCACATAACCATGACAGTATTAAAGCAACAAAAATGTAATTCACATGTATCGTTTGGTGGTTGCATATTGAAGGGATATGAATGCAAATCTTTAAAATTTTATTCAGTTGTCGTTTTCTTGACCAAGTTTTTCCGTGAAAAACAGGCATTGGTATTAAATAGGCCAAAGAAAAACTAATACTAGTATACCCTTGTTTGACTATATACTGATAGCTAATTCCATAAACTCTCTTCCCTGCTAATTTCTAGTTTGTGGAAATGTTATTTGACTAGACAAGTATTTATAAAATTAATCATAAGTTTAACGACGTTTATTTCTTAAAAAGAAAGTTGGGTTATTAATATTCTGATCCAATGAAACGTGGGTCAAACATATTTTGGGCTTGCTCCATTAAATTGGGTTGAGGTTTCAAACAAGCAACTTTGGTTATGGGCTGTGACAATTGTGGAGAACACCTTTAAATTTTGCGAAGCAAATTGACACGCCATGTCCTGTCCCAAATACTACCAGTGTCTTCTACGAGTAACAGGAGCACAGCCCAGTTCCAGGTAGACTCTTAGTGACATGTGGAGGGAAGTGGTTGGCTGATTACGGATTAAGGATATAGAATTCCTGCCTTCCATTCTTCCACTTTGTATGGTGGTCTGACCACCTAGTCCCCCCTGCTTACATCATATACCGATCGCGGTAGTTCTCACTTGGATTAGTACTTTTGTGTAACATCATATTGATCTCCCCTTTTTATCATTTTTGTGTTTGCT